GCACTGCTGACACTGCATGTATAAACAGCTCTCATATCATCAACGCTAGATCCCCGTGTGGGTTCACGTGGCCCCATTATGGGGAAAACAAGAATAGACCCTCTGCCTTAAGAGCAAGCATGTCTTTGGAGTCGACTAACTTGGGACATCCTTCGAAGTCGGAGTGCATTTGCCCGAGAGGCAAGGAACAACCAACTGCACTCGAATAAGTCAGTAAAACGGATGTACACGCAAAACTCAGGCCCCGGCACAAAGCCAAAGTCCAAATGGACGAACAACCAGGACTTTTCGCCGGAGCTTACAGCCGGTGAACAAAGAAGAAGAAGAAGAAGATCAACGCACGAGGTAGGTTTAACTATTCCCTTCCAGGGTCTGGACAGCATTCTGTAAAATAAGGGGGGGGGGGGGGGGGGGTGTCTGTACTCACCACAGTGTCTTTTATCGTAGCACTGAACAAACAGATGCCTTTTTTATTTTAATGCTACTACGCAGCGTTGCGTCTTCGCCATTGTCTTTTTTATTTAATTTTTTTTGGGCCATTATATGTCACAAAAGGCTATTCACCCACTCAGTCTTGTCATGTGCAATTAATTAAATACCATGGGTGGAATCCAGTCCAGCGGGGGGGGGGGGGGGGGGGGGGGGGGGGGGGGGGGGGGGGGGGGGGGTTGTAGCGTGAGATAATTTAAAGCCGTTGCGACGAGTAAAAGGAGATACTCTGTACCTCACCTCGGTCATCAGCTGGTTCTGTGCTGGCTTTACGGATCCGCCTTCAAGACTCTTGCCACCGTCCTCGACGTGCTCTGCTGATAGTAGTTCATGTGAGCATGAACCGCTCTGGCACAAATCCTCTAGCTCTCATCAGCGCCCCCCCCCCACCCCCAGTGCAGGGGTGATTGCATTTATTTTTAAAAAAAAAATTTAAAAACTCACTTGGAGCACTAGTGAAGCTCGCAGGCTGAATATTCTACTAGATGACAAATTTCGGCTCAAATGTCAGCCCTTCCTACCGATTTTGAAGAAAAATTTCAACCGTCAAGTGTCAGGATGTCGTAATCAGCTGAGCAGCCACCTCACTGCTGAGACCACGAGGTTTATTCGCAGCTCAGACGAGCAACATCTCCTGTGGGCATTACCTCGCAGTTCTGTGATTCAGTATAAGAGCAAAGTTGTAGATGTCCGACCATCGATTGTCTCTCTGTGTGTGAGGCAAGATTAAGAATTTCAACCACCAAACCTTCCACTGTGTGACAGACAAGGTTCAAATGTCCGCTATCATTGGCCACATTCGTCAGAGTGTCAGGAACAAGCTGGGAAGCCGTGTCTGATGCATGCTTTTCCAGTACTGTCGTGCTAGGTGTCCCAGTGCAACACCTTAAAGGTGCCTAACTTGCTGAAGGAGATTGTGCCCATTTGTGTGGTTATCGAAGTCCAGGACACATGGGCTGCCCTCTATTGATCTCCAAAGACCGCAGCCCGCAATGAGTGGGAATGATTTTGTGCGAGAGAAGGATTTTATGAGTGAGCCAGAGACCAGAGTGTCATGTGCTGGCTCTGCATTTAAAGAAGCCTCCTTGAGTGGTTCTGTGTTGAGAGGCAGACGAAGTGCACGAGGGTTCATTGCAAAAACAAATGAACGCCGCTTAGTGCAACCAAAATCTGGCAAATGACACCACAACGTCTAGTTTAAGAATGGAGTTGGAGGCAGTCACTACTGCCTTCCACTGGCTTGAAAATCAGCTGCACACACGGGTCGTATTTGTAAATGACTCACAGAGCATGTTGAGAAAGTGCAGACAGGCATGCTCCGTGCATAGTGGTAAGCATCGCTTTAGAGATCCCGGGTAGTTAGCTTCCTTTGGATTTTTTTCTACAGTAATCTGGTAATCTTAGTTTCAGCTTCATATCAAACGGGTCACCCCCCAGTTGCTCCGCTCCTGTGCCAACGAAAAACACATAAAATGTTTTTTACAGTTCAAATAAAATCCGCAGCTCACAGTGTTACACCAAACTCAGAAGCTAGGCAACGAAACTATATCCTTCCAGTCTACAATTGGGGCAAAAATGCAACGGTCACCGTCTGGCAGAAGCAAAAAAATTTGCCACGGCTAAAAAAAGTGGCCTTGCCTAGCGCCCATCTTGACCTGAAGCATTATGTGAGGGTTAATAAACGGCCACCCCAGCAGTACCCTCACTATTAGCTGTGGAAGGGGCTTAGGATATTACATCCACCAGCAAGCGTTGCCCCTATAACGACCTGACTGCCTTCGTTAACAACTGTTCACCCAACAGTTCACCCTTTGGCACGAAGGAGACACCTTGAACTTGGGTTTCGGACTGCCTTCTCCCGACGAGATGTTGTGTTATTTCATGTTATCACAATCGATGTCACTGCACATTGGTCATTCCTATGCGTGCTCAGTACTCCGATGTAGTAGCCACTCCAAAGTACTTCTACTAATTGTTCCCATGAGAAGCTGGTTATATTGTCTCCTATCTCGGCCTCGAAGACGGCACAGACGTGCTTTACCATGCTTTACTCCCATGTCACGCAATCGTGTTAGTGTCAGGGATTCCTCATTATCCACTAGCCCAGTCCATACAGCGTTGACGATTCTTCTTCTTCTTCTTGTTCACCGGCTGTGAATTCCGGCGGTAAGTCACGGTTGTTCGTCCAAAATGGACTTTTGGCTTTTACCTTGACCTGAGTTTTGCCTGTACATCCGTTTTACTGGCTTATTTGTTTGCAGTACTCGTTCCCCGCCTCTCAGGCAGATGTACTCCGACTTCGGAGGAAGACGTCAAGCCTATTTCTAAGTTGACTGTGGCCATTGTTTTGTGTGGGTCGAGATGTTGCCTTATTTGTGTGGTGTCCTCTTTGACTTTTAACAAGTGTGGCCCCCGGCATGTCGTCCTTAAGGCAGCTCTATGTAGAGTTTTCAGCCCTCAAGGGAAGGCAGGGGCAGATCATGTGCATTCCCCGCCATCCAAGGAGGCTTCCATAAATGCAGAGCCGACACATGATGCTCTGGTTCTGGGCTCACCCAAGTAATCGTCACGTCCTGCCCATGACTGCTTAAGCTCACAACCGTGTATTGAGCTTCCCGCGCTACAAGGCTGCGCTCTCCGGAGATCAGCGGGGAGCAGCCCGCAGGTCTAGTACGTTTGTGGCCACACAAATAGGTACATTCTTTTTCATCTTACGTTAGACACCTTTAACGTTGTTTTAGCTGTGCCCTTAGCACGACAGAATGGGGAAGCAAAATGCGTCAGGCGTGGCTTCACCTGTTTGGTCCCAACACTCGGGCGAGTTGGACCAGTGGATACGGACATTCAGACTTTTCCTAATCGGTACGAGTTATGATCGTCGGACTTTGAGCTTGCATGTGTGCCGTGGGGTGTAACTTTGTCGGACATTGTTTTTAAGCCAGCATATGAATAGTTGCTGCCATGGTGTGCCTCAGCGCGGTGACGACGACACTTAGGATTGACAGAGGATGTACGTAGGTGGGATCTTGCTGCGAGAAGTCGCCCACAAGAGATGTTACTCGTCTTGGCTGCGGGTAAATCTCTCGGTCAGGGTTGCGTCTCAGCAGCACAGTTTTCCATTCGCTCCCGAATTTTAACCAAGAGTTGTCATTTGATGGTACATTTAGCACGCAGTCCTTGAGTTTTGTTACTTTTCACCCATGCGTTTGGGGGCGGGCTGGTGAGAGCCAGAAAGGACTCTACACCTCTGGGGCCGCCAGCTCCGAGATCCCCTGCCAACTCTGTTAATGCTCATTTGAGACATTATCCGTGGCGCACGACGGGGACGTGCAACAGGAGTCTTGCATGAGGTTCCGTAAAACCAGAACAGTGAAGTACTGGCGCCCGAGTGGGGTACGGAATATCTCCTTATACACATCACATCAGACTTAACTTCCCCTCATGCCTGTGACCGAAATCACCGCGCCACAGCGTTGACGATATCTGCTTTGTCTATGCTTTTCCCCGCAATCCTTAGTGCAATGCTTGCCAGTTAATCCGCTCGCTCATTTCCCTTTACGCCCGCATAACACGGTGTGTAGATCCAGGTTACGGAGGTTAAGTGCGATTTTCGAATGCTTTCTACCCATTCAGAGCGCATACCGTCTGTTGCTGTCTTCTGAAGCATATTCATGGAGTCTGATACAATAACTGCCTGTGTGGCCGTTTGCTCGGATATCCATGCTAAAGCTCTAGGAGCAGCGGCTATTTCCATGGTCATGCTTGATGTGGTTGTCTGGTAAGCGCCGCTGTCCTCCTGTATTATTTTCCCATTTCTTTGCGCTGTGTATGCCCATGCTGACCTTGATCCGCGCTTCACGGATCCATCTGTGTAGATGATGATATCTTCTGGGTCTGAATGCTGATCTATCAGTTCCCTTACTTCTGTGTTTGCAGCCGCAGGAATTTGATCCTGGCAGTACTTTCCGAATGTGATGACAACCTTAGAGATGTCATGCATGTCGACTGGTGCATTCGTCCATTCTTTTTTCTCCAGACATATCTGTGTGCTGGGAACGAGTAGGCAGATGGACTACGACCCAGACCAAAAAGACGATGGAATGATAATGTCCAGACAGACTTGCAAACACTTGGTGTCACCAATTGAAAAGAGAAGGCCAACCAGTGAAATAAATGGAGACCTGTGATATTTGCAGCAGTGAAGCTCAGGGCTCGGAATGCTAAAGAAGAGGAAGAAGAACAACCTAGCATAACCATGATATATCTCATTATATGTTTACTGTATAATTAAAACAAACTAGGCGACAATACACATCCTTGTCATACTCCACTCTTTTTGCTCCGATATGTTCCTAAATCGTTATTATTTCTTATAGCTGCTGTATGATGTCCGTACTGGCATATCATTTATTACAAAACAAAACAAAACTGAAACCGAAAAGAACCTGGCAATTTGAAAGAAAGCACTAACTACATCCGCTCAGCTTGGACGTTTTCTACAGCGTCAAATCATGTCGAAGCGACGTATTGACGTTGGTGATAGCATGTCTGCTGTCAAAAAGATGATTAAGTATGTTTTTTCATGTTGAATGAATTATCAGTTGACGTGTAAATGTTACTGTGTTTAATATCACGAAATCCCCAACAGATAGAATAGCAAAAAATCAATTACAATACCTATTCTCGATACATGGCCCCGTGTTCTGTTCTTTTTAAGTAATTTAACATTATTAATTTTTAATATAGCAATTTGGAAGCTTCAGATTTATTGCTGCGCAGTCATCTTGATTTTAAAACTATTGCTTATATTGTCTAAACTATATATAATTAGATTTAATAATAATGACTTAGCGTGTTGACAGTGTTGTTGAATTATATTATTATAAATTTAGGCTCTCCTCCGAACTTCTACACCCGCAGTATTGCGGCCTAAAATATCGGTTCGGGGCGCATTCCAATTAAAAATATGCTGGCTCCGTTTAACGAAACAAATGCTCTAACAGGGTCTCAGCGATATGTTACTTACGGACCATTTTCTTATTGTTTTTCTAATTACCTGACAATTCTAAGAGACACAACACCACACTGCAGACGATAGTAGCAGATGACGAAAATATAATAGTGACCGTTGACACTTTCCATTGTAAAACTTTCTGCCGACGAACAAATTGCGGCAAATCTAGGATCGGCTCGGAAAAACGAAGTAAATGCTCTTACAGGCTCTCTCTCAGTGATATGTTACTTGCTGACCTGTTTCTGTGACTATGCCTCACCGCCGACCGTATCCCCCTCGCTACTACGTGCGGCGCGGAAAGGGGCGAAACTAGATGGCTGGGACTCAAGAGCGGCAGCTACCGCATCTCCTGCAACTTCCTCCAATTACTTTGCTCGTGAGTCCCAGGCACCTAGTTTTGCTCCCCATCTGCGCCGTGCATAGTGGCGCGGGGGGATACTCTCGGTGGTGAGTTCTGTGCATGCCGACAAGTTTGACATCTACCGCTGCTAAATCCTCAGTCGGAAGAACAGTATTGCTAATCTGCGTGGGAGCGCTTGGTATACCTGCCATATCGCTTTCATCGTCTGTAATTCTTGAAATTGTCAATGGTTGCTTTTACTGTCTGCTAGTATCGTCTGCAGAAAACGCTTGACATTGTCACCGGTCGCTTTTATCGTCTGCTACTATCGTCTGCAACGTTGCGTCTCGTGACATTGTAAGGTACTCCTAGTTTTGCCGCAATATTTTCCCCGGCGGGAACTCCGCCAAGTCCGTATTTTTAATTGGACTGCACCCCGATTGGATATTTCAAGCCGCAATACTGCGGGGGTAGAAGTTCGGAGGAGAGCCATAATTAAAAAATTTATTCAATAAAATAATAATAATGTGTTAAAATATTATTTTAGAACAGCTGTTTCATCCCCCCACAGCAAGCATGTGTAGTTAGAATTAGAAAAAAAGTACCTGAGATTGCCATATTTTGTAATTCTCTAAGCAATGATATGGGAGTAAACCCTGAGATAAGACAGAAACATGAGAATGTGAATACTCGTAGAAACACAAGATATCAAGCAGGGTTTAGACCAGCACGTGAAACCCAGAACAAGGGTTGTAAGATTAGATCAAGGTCTAATCAGTTAGTATGTGTTTGGCAGCTGGTATGAAAGGTTGCATCTGAAGGATGCGTGAATTTGACTGTGTATATTTGAAGACATGAGTTCTGTTCTGAGAGAAGACCGCAAGATGACAGCCTGATGACAGTCTCATCCGAAGTGGCAGCCAACAAGTTGTATTTTGTGTGTGAGGAAATAGGACTGAAAGGTAACGAGTGTGAACAAGAGAAGACGCAAAGTTGATGTCTGGTAAATGTCATCTTATTTTGCTGGATCGGCTAGTTATTAGTAGACGTTGATCAGACCAGATCACCTGTGAAACTGTAATAAAGAATATTAACTGGATATCGTCTACTCGTTGCCGTGTGCATTTAGTTCATTTAGAATGTCAGCTATGTCTTTCAATTGAAAAACCCCTAGCAACCAGTCAGCACACCAAGGAGACAATATCCCATATTTCATATTGTGCAAACACCCACTTTTGTTGTACACCAAGCTGCAAAATCACAAAATACATACTTTACCATTATAACATAGTAATTTCAAATCTCTGCCCATTGCAGCCAGCCTTCATTGTGGAGACTGCATTTTATTCATTGAATTTGGAAATGCAAATATAAATTTTGTGAACAATGATTTTTGTGTTTTTTTAATGGCAAAAAAATTTTGTAAAAAATACTAAAGGATGTCATACACTGTTATCATTAAAGTCAGTAATTAAAGTTTAATTTACTTTCCAACAGAGCAGCCTTACTTGTAGCCCATTATGCTACCAGTTAATTCATTTTTTCTGGATTTATGTGTCTGAGAGTGTCTCCTTTTTAAGGATAAAGAGGGGTGGGTGGTAGATTTTAATTTCCACTGTTACTCCAGCTTAGCAAATGCCGGTGAAAATTGGAAAACCACTGACGTAAATGAAGAGTGAATGTATTTAAAATCAAATACCTAAGGAAATAAGAATATTGTCTGGGCAAATACTGTCTTCAGCTATAAGACAAAGAAGGTAGCAATATATTAGGCACATCTTTAGGTGAAGCGAACAGAGAATTACCAATCAGGCACTTAAATGGGACACAGATGGTTTAAGGAGCCAAGGATGTCCAAAAGAAATCCTAAGATGAACAATGATGAAAAAGACTAAAGTTGCTGTACTAAATTATATACATTATATTGAAACAGTTGCACAGATTGGAATCGATGAAGAGACTGCAAACTATTTGTGATGTATAACAGCACAAAGTCTGATGTTAATAATTTAATTAGGCAGCATGGGAGTGCAGTTGTATTTTTTTTCTTTCAGCCATGAGGTCAAAAGTTGAAATCTCTGATCAAAGCGGAATATTTTGTTTACTTTATTTATAACACTGTTGTCAACTCCACGGTTCATAAAATAGGTTCTATAACTTATTCAGAGAGTTGTGTTGCCTATGACTTTGTGACCACAACTCTAACATTATGTTGTCAGATATGTCTAGCAGCATATTCCCTCCACAATATGCAAATAGTCTACAACTACAGCTTTTATGTACTTGCATTTCACAGTAATTTATATTTTACTTACACAGGGAAGAGGATACCAGTGCTGATAAAAAGGATGATAAGACCGGCAAGCCTCAGTCAATATTTGAACAGTTCAACATACCCCGACCAACACTCCAACTGAACCCGTTCACAGGTTAGTCAAGAAAAAGTCCCAATGTTAAAGTATAATGGAAAAGTGACAGTTGAAAAATATTTGTTTGTGTGAATGGTGGTGTAATGTCTTGTACAGTGTGTATTAACACTTTCGCTGCTACATACCACACAGTCATTGTTACCACTCTGCAAAGCAAGTTTCACCACTGATCCTCTCTCCAATGCTGAATACTTTTTTATCCTCCAAAAGATGCGGTGGGACTATATTTTGTACACCTAAAATATTCACCGTAGGAAGGTTAGTGGTTTAGCAGTGAGGGCACCGAAAACGGAAGATTCAGAAATACGCCCTTAGCAGCCTACGGGACAAACATATTATGCCCATAGCATCGAAAGGGTTGAAGTGTAAGCATAATCCATATATAATACACATGATAAGGTTGTTGAGGACATATGCCTTTGTCAACCACAGAGCATAATTGTCAATTGCACCAGATAATACACTGGCCGTGAGTTTTGAAATCGTTTAGCATGATAACACAACATGGCTTTTCAACTCGTGGCTCACAGAATGTCTTGAAAGTGGCAGGCGGATCATTGCAGTTTGTATTTTTAATGGTCTTTCTGTGCTGGGACTCTGGTCTATGACGATCCCCATTTCCAAAATGTTGGCCCCTGAGTTAACTCAGTTGAATAACCCTGGCATACAAGATCTATATCATAACTGTTGGCAGTACATTATGTCAGTAGGCTGTGGAAAGACATCATGATCCAACACAACATATGTACCATAAAAAGGAAGGAACCTCCATCCATGTAATGAAAATGATACAGACAATACCAAAGTGAACAACCAAGAAAAAGCTGGAAAATTAAATAGAAAAGATAAAAAAAAAACTAGAGGCAATAATGTCATCAGACAAATCAGCTGTGATGTTGATATCAACAAAACCCAACACAGAACCAACCAAACAATTTAATGAAACCAAATAAAATCCAGATAGCAATCTATATTATAAAAAGTTAACAAATCAACAGTTAAACAGACTAGACCAGTGTTTTAAGAACAGATTATACATGGTCAGACCTTGAAATTTAACATGGCTGTGAGAACTGATTTTTATAACTGGTATGTTCTTCTGTTTAGGACTACCCTTCACGCCCCGCTATTATGATCTGTTTCGCAAGCGGTCCACTCTTCCTGTCTGGGAGTACAAGGAAAGATTTGTTGACATGGTTACAAAACATCAGACTATTGTGCTGGTCGGTGAAACTGGTTCTGGAAAGACAACCCAGGTAGGATTATTCTTGTATTCTTGGTTTTGTAGACCGTAAATAATATACTTCTTTCATACTAGTGGTGCAACAGGCTCAGTTTTTATATATACCAGTTGGTGCTCGGTAGGTGATAATGTAAGCATCACACTGGCTGCTTTTTCTTTACAGGAAATGTCTGGTACAGCAGGGTTGTTTATTATTTCATCAAATGCCCTGTCGAAACTATAGTGGACATGAACATCTGCTGCAGTAAAATTCATGCATTAGAAGCAAAGTGTTCCTTTTGTCTAGGTAATCGAAGCCTCAGGTCTGCAGTATGCCTCCTGCTGGCTTCCAAAGGCATAGCCTGTGATGAATGGAAGTGCGGTTAAAAGGTCATAAGTAGGATGTTACGATTCCTTAGGGGAGCCCAGTACCGATGCACCTTGGATGGCAGGAAATTCTCATGTTCTGCCCCTGCCTTCCCTTGAGGGCCGACCTGCGCCTAGCTGCCCTGGACGGACTCTCTAGGAGTAACACCCATAGATAAAGTGATAAAGAAGAAACAGCACAAATAAGGATATTTTGCTGTGTGAAGTAAAACATCAGGAAGACTCACCTGGTGAATAAATGCCCAGTGTAATCAGATGTGTCGGCCAAAAGGTGTAAATACCACAGCTATACTGTAAACAGACACAACACAAATTACGTCACTTGGACTCACGATGAGGAAGGAGAAGAAGAAATGCCTTGTTGAATTGGCTTCTTAATTTTTGAAAGCCTGTCATTTCATATGTGGACAATTTTCTGTGCCATAACAAAAGGCTGTAAATATTCTTTTGCTGTCTCCCTTTTTCTGTGTGGGTTCCACAGCCCCATTTTGGGGAAACTAATAAAGCCACTGGTCACTCCCCCCCTACCCCAACAAGCATGTTGTAAATAGTGACTAATTATGGGTTTTTAAAACTGTATTTGGCCGAAAGTGCATAAAACACAGCCTGTCTGTAAACCATGACAACACACCATCCATCTTTTTAAGGGCAGATGAAAAAGAAAAGAACAGTCTTATCTTCCTCTGCCTCTTGTTATGATTATTCCATTTGTTACGTTTGTCCTGGTGGTTCTCTTCTCATAATATGGTTTAAAAACAAAAATGATTGCCTCTTTGTCAAGTTTTATGTTACAGTACATTAAGACTTTGCTTAACCGTCAGTTTTTAAAATGTCAGTTTCTCTTATCGTCATTATCTTTAAAAAAAAAGGATCAGTTCCTAACCAAAACCCTACAACCAGCTCCTCAGAAACAGAAATAATATCAGCGGGCATCGACTGGTTTTAAATGCAAAAGAAGGCAAATGCAACACAGATCCTGCTTCTGCATAAGTTACGGAACATCGACGCACAGAAAGCTCGGGCTTCAAAGACACAGGAGATGATATACTATTTTGAATTTACCTAGGTTTATGCTATTACAGTACATTTCTTTACATTACTGCTTTATTGCAGTTTATTATGTTTCTTTTTTAAAAATTGAATACAATATGTATGTATTATTCATTTTTAAAAGATTTCATTTTCACCCCCCCCCCCACCAAGTAAAGGACACTTTTCCACGCCTTTAGGCATATAGGGCTAGACCTATATTTTTATAGACCAACGGCACAAGATGGGTGATGTGGTCAGCATCACACCGGCCTCCTCTACTTCCCGGGGCTGCACCCGGTACCCACTCAAGGCTGGGTCGACCTGGGAACCAAGGTAATTTTTTGAAGAAAAGTCTGGCTCCGCCAGGGAGCGAACCCACATTTCATCCCAAGCCTGTGGTGAAATTATGTTACTGTACATATGTGTTAGAAGATTTCTGTTATCTGTCTATTCAGTTATCTATCAAAGCCCTAGTCCGAACAATGGTTGTTAATCAAAGTTTAATTATATAGTTACATAACAAAACATTTGTTTGACTTGAAATGACCTCTATGTCTTTATTACAGATTCCACAGTGGTGCTTGGAGTGGGTGAGGGCTCGCAATCCCAAAAAGGGTGTTGCCTGTACACAGCCGCGTCGAGTGGCAGCCATGTCTGTTGCACAGCGTGTCTCGGAAGAAATGGATGTGCGTCTAGGTCAAGAGGTTGGATACAGCATCAGATTCGAAGATTGCACATCACAGAAAACAGTTTTAAAGTGAGTATTAGGGTGAAACTTTGTCGCAAACTTGGGGTCATTGATTGCAATGAAAGCTGAGTACTTGAAATACCTGGTAACAGTAGTTAATACAGGGAGGGTTACTTTGCAGTCATAGTCGACGAGAGGCAAGGAACAGCGTGCCTATAAGTGCGATCAATAAAACAGATATGCCCCAACACTCAAGTTGTGAACAAGATCAGAAGCAGATGAACAACCAGAACATTCTATCGGATTTTATTGCCAGTGAACAAGAAGAAGAAATAGCATATTATTTGTTTTATGAAGTTAGTATGGTAGGACAGATAATCATTGTTGGAAATTTGGGCCTCTTTCAGGCAAGTTCACTGACCACTATGTCACAGTGGCTCTAGTCACAAAATGTCAGAAATTCAAGTTTTGATGTATGGATTTTTAATTTAAAATGTTTGATTTTATGTAAGTAAATCTTGCATGATCCCTGTGTAAAAATACACTCCCTGCCACCCTAACAAGTGTCATATGAGGCGATCAATTAGGGGCGTTTCCATTGAGGTTGGAATGCATCTGCCTGATAGGCAGTGAACCAACAGTTTGCTTACAAATAAGCTAGATCTATACAGAAGTTCTGGATCAAGACCAAAGTTAAGGAGTGGACGAACAACCAGAAGTTTCTGCTGGGATTTGCTGCCGGTGAACTCTAAGAAGAAGAAGAATCCTGAACATAATAATGTAATTAGAAGAGAAAAAGATCAAGTCAGTTCTATGAAGCTTTTATTTTCAAATGTAACTACTGCAGTAAATAATCTTCTATGTGAAATATTTGCTACAGGTACATGACAGACGGTATGTTGTTGCGTGAAGCAATGTCTGACCCACTGTTGGAAGCCTATGGCATTATAATGCTGGATGAGGCTCACGAGCGCACCCTGGCCACAGACATTCTCATGGGTTTGCTGAAGGAGGTGGCAAAGCAGCGATCCGATTTGAAGATCATTATAATGAGTGCTACTTTAGATGCTGGAAAATTTCAGGTAGGTAAAAGTGCTTTGATACATTAACTGCAAAGTTCAGCCAGTCCTGAACAAATCTACCAATCGCTTAGTGGGAGTTTGTTGAGGGTCTGTGCTCCATTTCCAAATGGAAGACAGAATAAAAAATGTAGCTATCCTCGTCATGCTTAGAGTGCTTATCAGATTCCTTATCTTTATGTATTTAAATGTGTGTGTGTGTGTATATATTAGGGCTGTAACCAATACGAATAGCGGGACTATGTATTAGTTCGTGTGCTGGCATACCTCCATGCCATGCAACAAGACTGTCAAGAATCTTCTCTCGTTGTCTACCTATATCACTCCTTCCATAGATCTTTCCAGTGGTCACCACATGTTCCATTTACCATCTTCTCATAACATGGCCAAAAAATGATGACTGTCTCCTTCTGATGTCAGTAATTAGTTTTCTTCGGGCTCCCACCTCTTTCAAAACCATCGTTTGTTTTTATACCGCGCAACCGGGTCGCAGTTTCCCCCGCTACGACAGACTAGGCAACAGCAACTATTGTGTTAATGAGTTATTTCAGTTCATCGCTGTGAATGCAGAAACAGGTGTAAGGTAACCACTATTCCTATTCAGCCCAACCACAAGGATTCGGCCGAAAACCCGAATAGTTATTAGGTCCACTATTCGACCCTGAAGGGAATATTTGGTACAGCCCTTATATATATCATGCTTAGAGTGTTTATCAGATTCCTTATCTTTATGTATGCATATGTGTGTATATATACATATATATATATATGTATATACATATGTGTGTGTGTTCATATATATATATATATATATATATATATATATATATATATATATATATATATATATATATATATATATATATATATATATATATGCACACACACACAATGGGTGATGTGTCATCAACACGCTAGCAGCCTTTACTTTCCAGAACTTACCTGGTACTCATTTTAGACTGAGTGGACCTGAAAGCCAAGACCATTTAAAAAAAAAAAGGAAGCAGCAGCTTGATGCAGATTTAAACTCGAGGCGAGTGTCTGGTTGCTAGCACTGTGTCTGCGTCTGATTTTTGTTCAGCTTTACTATACCTTTGTGTTTCTTGGCGGACTGCGTTTGTGTTTTCTTTCCATTGCTGATAGGTTCTTTGCATGTTACTTAGAAAAAACAAATTGTACATGTGTAGATGACTTCAGGTTCTGTATAGCAGTTTAACAGTCATGATATGCTTACCTATAGGTGATGTTAGTTGTATGTCAGACTTGATTCAAGTACCTAGAGGTCATGTTTCTCATATTTATAATTTTTTTATGGGTAAATTACATGTGTGTTCATTTATACACACAACACTTTATACACAGATTAAATTAAAGCTGATGAAGTCTTTTGGATAACTTCATTGCATTGGTTCTCCCCCTCCCCCCCCCCCCCCCCCCCCATAGCTTGGTCTGTCTCCACAGAATGGCTAGCCACCCGTCGAAAGAGTCAAACAAAGCACAGATTCCATAGCTCACTTGGCGATTCCCCAGAGATCTCTGAAAAATTACACTCATAAGCGATGCATCCATGAACAAACCCATGACCTTCAGAGTGCATGGCAACCAGCTTGTGCACCAGCACATGTTCATTTGCTCTCTGTGGGTGTCTCTCTCTGTTTTCCCCTCTCTCTGTCTCTCTCACACGCACACACCTGTAGAAGCAGAAACATGAAAGAGAAACAAGGCAGAACATTATCTCTTAATATTCCAAACTGAATAATCTTGTTAATAAATTACTGATTCTTTTCATTGAGCAGCCTGTTCAATTTGATTGAATATGAACTGGGAATTTAGACTGGTTGTAAATCTCAGTCATTACTGTTTTATCTCATTACTGTTTTGAATTGTGATAGGGGCCTGTTTAATGAATGCTTGTATTTGTTATTGGACAGACATACTTTGACAACGCTCCACTAATGGCAGTGCCAGGCAGAACCCATCCTGTAGAGATTTTCTACACCCCTGAACCAGAGAGAGATAACCTGGAAGCAGCCATCAGAACAGTTATACAGATACACATGTGTGAGGACACTGAAGGAGACATGTTGCTCTTTCTTACTGGTCAAGAGGTATATGGCTACATTTGTTGTCTCATTGATACCAGGTTGTAGCCCAGTATTGTGATTTTTTATATTTGTCTTGCACTTCTGGGGTGGCGGTGATGGATTTATTCCTTGTTTCGCAGGTTTCTGCTACACCATTTATCCCTCTCTTTTTTGGTTTTCCTCTAGCCTTCCTCCCAGATGTTCTGCTGTAAATGAGCATTTTTTGTACATATCCTGTATCTTTATTCTTTTATATGTCCCCATGTGGGTGCTGGGGCCCCATTTTGGGAGGGAAAAAAGAAATAGACCCACTGCCCCTTTAACAAGCATGTTGCAGGAGCTGTTTCCCTCTAAATCGGAGGGCATTTAAAAGGCTAGGAACCAACAGTCTTCATACAAATAAACAGGGTCTGTAAAACAAAGATACTCGCCAAACTGTTCTGGAACAAGGCAGAGTCCAAAAGTAGACAAGTAACTAGAACTTTCTGTTGGAATTTACAGACTGAAGACTAAGAAGAAGAAGATGATTTTCTCCCATCACCCTCTGTGGTGAATTAAAAAGGTGTAGAAGAGGTCTAGGCCAGCCTGTGCTATGAAATAAAGATGCGTGCATGTAGGACGTGAATGATATTGAGACCTGGATTTCTGGGAAAGGGATAAAAGTGACGTAGTGAGAAAATTAATAAGAGAATAAGGAGAATATTGGTGCAAAGAGGTTATGAGTGTCTGCACATTATTAAATACACGCATTGACAACAGTAGTTATGAAATTCCAAGCTCTAATTATAAAAGACTTTAAATTACAAGCTCTAATTGTGAGAGAATTTTCTTACGTGGGTATTTGCTGTTACATTTCCTATCTCCGTTAGCTGGGAATCCCCATATCTTACCCCGTCCTGTAGCAATGAGTATGGTAGGTATTTTTGGGTTGATCCTGTAACTTTCCTTTGTAATTATATTGTCACAATCAGCGTCGCTGCACATTGGGTTCAGTCCTCTGATACAGTAGCCGTGCCAGTTACCTCCACTGATTGTACCCATGAGAAGTTAGATACAATATCTCCTATCTTAACCTTGAAGACAGCACTGACAAAGCTTTGCCAGGCTTTTATTTCCCCAAGGTCATGAAATTGAGTTAGCATCGGAAATGATTTGTGAATGTTACAAATTAGAAATCAAACGTAAACAAATTTTGCAATAGTGATTATTTTGTTTGTTTGTTTGTGGTGTTCATTTTTTTTCTCTTCAATTTAATGCATCATATTCTTTCCTACAGGAAATAGATGAAGCATGTAAGCGAATTCACAGAGAAGTTGAAAATCTGGGGCAGGATGTTGGAGAACTGAAGTGTATACCTCTGTACTCCACTCTGCCACCAAATCTACAGCAAAGAATCTTTGAAGCCCCACCTCCTAAAAAAGCCAATGGTGCCATTGGACGAAAAGTTGTAGTGTCAACCAATTTAGCTGAGACATCGCTGACCATTGATGGTGTGGTGTTTGTGATAGATCCTGGCTTTGCCAAACAGAAGGTTGGTACAGTTGTGTAGACTGGTTGTATGTGTGTAAATATCAGCTGTATTTTTGTGTTGTTGTTACTTGGTAACACAGAGAAGAGACTGGCTGAACGGTTAAGAACTTGGGCTCTCATGCAGAAGATACAGGTTTGAATTCCTTGTAAGGTTCTAGGTTTTTCCTTTTGGGGTTACAGGTGTCATAATCTGTGCAGTCCATGGCAACGGCACAAGCCAGGTCAGTCAATTAGCAGTGTCCCTTACAGAATGTCACTCTCTTCGTGGCAAACCTGAAAGTCACTCTTTCTCTAGTTAATTCTCTAGCATTAAGTGCTTTCACAGCCAATGCGTCTTCAATGTCCTATATCCACCTTAGCGGGGGGTGTTAGCCTCTGCCTCGTTTCTTGAAACTGCAGCCTCCATCACCATTCTCTCCAGACCACAATGGTTCTTGATATGTCCAAAATACCCCACCTTTCGCAAGAGAATGCTGTTTGTGAGCCATCTCTCCTTGATGTTCAGGTCATGCAGGATGCCAACATTTTTCCTCTGGGTGCATGGTATACCAGGAATACTAGCTTCATGTACCTAAAACCTCAGGCTCAAAGATCTCCCTCTATTAATTACACTGCAGAAGTAATAAATACAGACAATAAAGGCAGGTGGCAGTTATTTAAGTAAATATATATATATATGAGAGCTAACGTTTCTTCACTACATTAAAGATATGGGCCATGCTGTGTTGTGTATGTTAATTTCACTGACACTGTATCATATTCTCTAGGTCAGAAAAAAAAAAGTCATTTAGTAGTAAAGTTTATCATGGGCATTTCCATGGCCACGATAGCTGGATGTCCCCTGGTGCTCAGAAAAGTTTTGTTTCCAGCTAGGTTTTGTTGATGCAAATTCCCCATTTCTGGACCAAAAGTTCTGTCGCTGAGCTACTGAGTTAGGTACTTAGTGTGATGCTGTGGATGTAGTATGGAATGTTGTTTACTGCACTAAAATGGCTGGTGTCCTATTACGTTTAGAATGGCGTGTACCTTTGCAGAGGCAATGCTGGCTTTTGCGTATGTAAGTTAGTGCCAGCGGTGAGCTGCAGTTCTACTCTGAGACCATCAGCATTGGAACATCTGACTGCTGCCTTATGCATTTTTACTTTGTGGGTGCAAGCTTCTACTTTTGCTGGGACTGACAAGCTTTTCACTAGTTTTGTGAAGGACAATTTTTCATTTCCACTGTCACAGGACAAGAGCAGTTATTAGGTGACCTGTCTACAGTGATGATGGAACCTCAACTAGTGACTAGTCAGTTTGTAAATGTGTATTTATATACCTTTAGTTATTGTGTTTTAATTAGAGAGCAACATTGTCTCTCATGCTACTATTAATCTGACATTTTGATAAATTCATGAACTCATATCATGGAAGATAATCCTGCAGCTGATACAGTTGTAAGGTTATAAGATGCTGTGATGCAACATACACACTGGCTATGGAGGTGGAGTGGCTGTTCTCTTTTTCGCACTAGAGCATTTCCTTCCATTTTCAAAGTCAACTAATTTTATGAGTAATATAACTAGTTATTTTACTACTGCACAGAACTAAAAAAAAATATATCTTTTAATTAGATGATGATTTGTGTGTTAATCTTCTATGTTTATATGAAGCCATTTTGTTCAAATATACCAATTGCTCTGTAGGTGTACAATCCCCGTATCCGTGTGGAGTCATTGCTGGTGACTGCCATCTCCAAGGCTAGTGCACAACAAAGAGCTGGTCGAGCCGGAAGAACCAGGCCTGGGAAATGTTTCCGTTTGTACACAGAGAAAGCATACAAACAGGAGATGCAAGAGAACACATATCCAGAGATCTTAAGGTCAAATCTTGGCACGGTTGTGTTGCAGCTGAAGAAGCTTGGTATAGATGACTTGGTTCATTTTGATTTTATGGATCCCCCAGGTAAGTTCATCTGTGTGTCTGCTTGTTGACTGTAGATTGTGTGTGTTTAAAAAAAACATCTTTAAACCGTTAGGGCTGCAGTGGAGCACATGAACACTTGACAAAATTGTTTTATTCCATAATATTTGTGGCCACAATGTCAAATTCAGTGTTTGGGTTATGTTCCAGGCTTTATTTGTGGTTTATTTTTGTATCTTTAGTGCTTTATGCTAACACTTCATTTTTCCTTTCTCTTTGAAGCTGCTATCTTCTTTTTTTTTAAATTTTATTCTGGTTTTCCTGGTGATGATAAAATACACCCGTAATAAGTAAGTATAAGAATGTTATACTTACACACACATGGTACATTTGCATATTCCAGTCATAATATTACTTCACTGTTTATAACAACAAACACATGAGCTTATATTTAAATGGCATTGTCCTACACATTAACTTTTCAACTAGCTCCTGAGACTTTGATGCGTGCTCTCGAACTGCTGAACTACCTAGCAGCCCTGGATGACGACGGTGAAATTACTGAACTGGGGTCCATGATGGCCGAGTTTCCCTTGGATCCCCAGCTAGCAAAAATGGTGATAGCCAGCTGTGACGACAATTGCTCCAATGAAGTTCTGTCCATTACAGCAATGCTTTCAGGTATAACCCTAGTTAGAAGTTTTCTATATTATTCCATTGTTTTGAAAGATTATTTGAAATCTAAATATCTTTAGCCTTATTTTATTTACATGAAGGAAATAAGAATTAAATTATAGTAATATTATTATGGTATTTGTTATTGTGTGCATTGATGTTAGACAAGCACTATCCCTGGAGCACTTGCCATCTGTTTTCTATGATCCACACAGTGATATATTGTTGGCACTTTGCCAGAGTCACCTAAGACTAGTTTTGACAATTTTCAGGAAAGTGCATTTCCAGGGCTGTTTTTTGTCAGTCTATGCTAATGGCACACATGTGGTTCTTGCTGCAAATAGGTCAAAATGAATTATTGCTTTTCATGCACTACACAATCATCATTTGAATTTTCTTATTTGTGTTCACCAGCTGTAAATCCAGTGGAAAGTTCTATTTGTTTGTTCACTTGTAGACTGTAGACCTGTTCCAAACCCTGGGTGTTGCGCACACATCCATTTTACAGACCTGACTCATTTGTATGCAGACTGATGGTTACTTTCCTCGCATGCAGATGCATTCCGACTTTCAAAGGAAGCTCCCAGTTAGTCGACTCTTATGACATGCATTTGGGTAGGCAGTGGGTCTGTTCTTGTTTTTCCTACAATAGGGCCCTTGAACCCACTTGAAGTTTCTAACATATCTTGATGTTCAAATGTGATTTTCTTCAAACAAGGATTTAGCTCATAGGTGACTTTGGCATAGGTTAGCAATATCAGCTAGAGCAGCGGTTCTTAACCTGTGATCTGTGACCCCTGTGAGTGGGGGGGGGGGGGGGGGGATAGAACAACCATTTCACAGGGGTCGCCTAAGACCATAGGAAAACACATATTCACTGAAATTATGAAGTAGCAACGAAAATATTTATATGGTGAGTGTCACCACAACATAAGAAACTGTATTAAAAGGTCACGACATTAGGAAGGTTGAGAACCACTGAGCTAGAGTAATGGTGCATTTGTTTATCCATTTAAAAACAGTAGTTCCTATCACAGTGAAAGCAAATGCTTCAGTGGTCCTTGTCACGATGCAAGCAAACGCCACACATGGCTAATGCATGTATTTACCAGTGGTACTGTTAGCTACATTTCCTTCTGATAGGCACTTCTCCAGCTTCAGACTCAAAATACAAAGTCTTGTCTTCTCTGTCCCTGTCTCTGGGATAGTGCATTGTCTAACATTTTGGCTTCCTTTTAGTGCCCTTGAACTAATGGCGCCGGGGATGGGCCGTGTGGCCCCACCCGCTTCTCGTGTTTAGTCCCTCAGTGTTTTGTACGACCCATGGAAGTGAAGAAAGCTGCAGATGAAGCCAAGATGAGGTTTGCTCACATTGATGGTGATCACCTCACGCTGCTAAATGTCTACCACGCCTTCAAGCAGAGTAAGTAATGATTATATTTTGTTTCCTGTGCATGTTTATGTGTGTGTGTGTATATATATATATATTTTTATAGTACAGTTCAACGGTGAAGGTCCTAGGCCCCATTTTGATGGAATAAAGAATATATATACATATATCAGGTGTTTTACTTGGGTGAAACTCGGTCTTTTGTTCATAACTCAAACACTAACAAAGATATGGCAGTGAAATTTGGAGTGGACTTACCCTCCGTTCATGCCGCGTAGGGTGATTTCACAAAGTTGCTGGAAATGGCCACAGTTGGCAGCCAGGCAGAAAAACATTGCATGACCTTAATTACAAGCAGTAAAACCTGACAAACTGAGACAGACTTTCCACAACATGGAACGCTGTGTCCTGTGCCTAGCAATTTTTCTTGCTTGAATTCCTATTTTGATCAGAGGAATTTCTGATAAAAAACACTTTTTTGGGTTCCCGGTAAGTTCTCCTGATTGTGTCTGCACTGTTTATCACAGACACAGTTATCTGCTAAGTGGAAAGTTGTCTGTGGTCTTCTCTTTTGTAATAATGCCAGTGTAAGACAATCATAAGCGAAATGGTCAAAAGTGGAGGATGTGAAGGTATTCTTTTTTACAGAGAATGTTGTGGATGAAGATGAAAACTTCTGAGATATGTAGGTATTACAGATAATTTATAAGACCCATAAAAAAAGGAGTGAAATGTATACGTATCACAGAGTTAGTAATAGAGAAATTAATCTTGTTTTGTTTTTTTGGAAAATACTTAGCTAGAGGGGCATGTTAAGCCAAAAATATGTGGATTGCTTAAGCAACTGATCAGAAAAATTATAGGAGTGGGTCAAGGTGTCTGAACAAGTTTCAGACTTGTGTAGGGTTCTAATCACGTTAGGTCATGAGTGTGGAGACTGGCCAGCTGGTGCTGCAGAATCAGAAGTTCTGCAAATTATTCATGATAATTCCTGCCCAAATGATGTGGTTATCTGTACAGATGGATCTGTGTTGAGGGGCAGACAAAGTGCATGGGGTTTTATAGCAAAGGCAATTGGTTATCACCTAGTGCAGCAAAACCTTGTGCACGATATCACATTTAGTTTGAAAATGGAGGTGGAGGCAGTCTCTGCTGCCTTCCGCTGACTAGAGAATCAGCTGTACACACATGCTGTGATTTTAACTGACTCACAGAGCATGTTGAGAAAGGTAAAAACATGCTTTGTGCAGAGTGGCAAACATCACTTTAAAGGTCCCAGGTAGTTAGCATCCTTTGGATATTTTTTCCAGGTGATGCTAGTGTGTTGGGAAACGCCTTTCCCTTTGGGAACTGGTGAACAGTGTGGAGGCGCAGATAGATAATTGCGGTCTAAGGAGAATGGCGCTGCGAGGAATCAACCAGAGGATCTGGCTGATGCTCAACACTCCGGGTAGGATGAGATGATATACAATCAGACAGTTACCGGTACCATCAGAATTGGAACTCTTCGCTTACTGCTGAAGATGGGGATTTAGCACTTATGGGAGTGCCCCGAGTGCTGTGAAGTAGATTCTTAATTCAGCATACTGTTGTATTAAAAAATGTCATAAAATAACACAGTTATGTCACTAATTTAACAAAGAAGAAGATGATAAACTGTTTGCTTTTTGTGTGTGCTGATTTCATTTTCTTTGTTTTATTAGTTAACTTGGACATTTGTTTAATTGGCTTTTGAAAACTCATCAGATCATGAAGATCCTCAGTGGTGTTATGATAATTTCATTAACTACCGATCCCTGAAAAGTGCAGACAATGTTCGACAGCAGCTGGCCAGAATCATGGACCGTTTCAACCTGCGCAGATCAAGTACAGATTTCACATCCCGAGATTATTACATCAATATCAGGAAAGCACTTGTGTCGGGATTTTTCATGCAGGTCAGTTTTAACTTATATAGATAAGGTAGATGCAGCAGGTTTTTAAAAGAATATCACTCTCTAGCCAGTTCACCAGCAAGTGCTTTCATAGACAATGCATCTTCAATGTCTTGTTTTCATGTATGTGGAGGTCTGTCCATACCTCACTCTCCTGAAACTGTACTTCCAGCACCCATGATGTCCAACATGACAAAATACCTCGGTCCTTGGGATAGGACAGTGCTTATAAGCCAGTTATCCTCAGTGCTCAGATCAGTTAGGACAGAGCTGTATAAAGTTTTCTCGGTGGGCCAAATTGTTGACCAGAAAATATTAATGAGTTGCAACAGACAATGATCAACGGGCCACTAGACTAGGCCAAATTTTGACCTTGGGCTGCTAGTTTAATAGCTCTGTTGTAGGATGTCTGTGCCTTTCTTCTTGTTGGTAAGAAGACCAGACGGACATATTGTTATAGTCAGCCATTTTACATAATTGTCAGTATTAAATCCTATCTATCCTGAGAATGCTATTTCTAGTTGTTGGTGTTGTTAAATTCTTTCTGCCAGTGGTTTTTAGATAAAAATGCCACTAGCCTCTATGAAAGCTATGGTCCTCCACTGGCCCATACAGCTAGTTTCCACCTGAATGCAAATGGCCAGACCTGGAGTCTCTGCTACACCTATAGAGCATTACATGTAGTACATGGTCACTCTTCTAGGGGAAGAATGCTATTTGATAAAGTCATCTAGGTATCTGTTTTCTCTTCTCTTCCCCCCCCCCCCCCCCCCCACTATTTTAAATATATTTTAAAGTTAATTTCTTCCGTAACAACAAAATTAAAAAAAAATCAGTTTGTGATTTTCACCTTCTTTGTAAGGACTGCCTCACTTGTTTTTCCTGTTCATTCATGATAAGTGTGTTTTCCTCATAGGGACATTTCTGCTGTAACAGATTTTGACCATTTCGCTTATGATTGTCTTACACTGGCATTATTACAAAAGAGAAGACCACAGACAACTTTCCACTTAGCAGATAACTGTGTTTTCTAATGCAAGCGTAATTATACATAGTAACATTGTTACAGCTCGACTGTTATAAAATTAAAATGTGATTCTTTAGTTCATTCAGTGTCTGTTATACAAGTCAAGAAAATGTACCACTTAAATTTATATTTGTTTTATGCACATATTTGGTCATTTTAGCACTTTCAGTGCCCCTTATCATGGATTACCACAATTGCATCCTTTAAAACCACAAGTTATAATGAAGACAATAATAACACCCTCCAGTTTATGATTTCTGTTCCCCCAAAACAGGTAGCTCATTTAGAGCGCACAGGCCATTACCTGACCGTGAAAGATAGCCAGGTAGTCCAGCTGCATCCCTCAACAGTGCTGGACCACAAACCTGAGTGGGTCCTTTACAATGAGTTCGTATTGACCACCAAAAATTACATCCGTACTGTTACCGATGTCAAACCAGAGTGGTGGGTATTTGATAATCTGAAAATATTTTGTGTGACCGCTTGCCTTGGCTCTTTACTTTCTGGTTATATTCTGTTCTTACTCCTATACTTTATGCAAATGTTAAATTGTTTTATCGTTTATTACCAAAATTTATTGTGTATGAATATGTGCCCACATATGTACTTGTGGTCTTCCATAACTTGTAATTTTAGAGAGAGAGAAAAAAAAAGAAAAACTTCAATGTAGAAAACGTTACAGTTTTAGATGTTTATTTTCTGTTTTTATTGTTTTAAAAGTATGTGACATCAGTACCATCATCTACCTAGCGGTCTCTAAACTTTTTCAGGTGGTACCCCCTTTAAGTAAATGAAAAGCCCCCACCCCCACCCCTTTCCGACATAAACAAAATGTTATCAAAAAGAGAATGTGATATTAGTCTTTAGTCAAATAGAGGCGTTAACCATATTAATCCAATTTTCTAACGGTCGGTGTACAAATTACTTATTATAAAAAAAAAGGTTTTGTTAGTGTGGGACTTCTCGTGTTATAATGTGAATAATTTTATTTTAATTGAACTGAAGACAGAAAGCTAGCCTAAATATAGGTTGGATCCAACCTATATTTGTTAGAAGTATAGTTTCACAGTGGGCAGTTAGAGGAAATAAAGAATAGACCCACTGCCCCCCCCCCCAACAAACATGTAAAAAGCAACTAAAAGGCAGTTGGATTGTGGAGTACATCTGCCTAAGAAGCAAAGAATCAGGCCTGCCTAAACTTAAGCCAGATCTGTAAAACGAACGTACAGACGAAAAGTTCTGAAACAAGAAGTGGACGAACAACCAGTACTTTCTGCCACAGTTTACAGACAAAGAACGCTAGGAAGCACGATAACCTTGTATTTCTGTTTCTTCATTTGCCTTGAAAAGCATGTTGTATCTTTATTTGCAGCACGCTTATTAAGAGAAGTTGGTCCTTTTGTTTTGTTTTGGAACACACATAAAAACTGTTAAATGAGCAGGACATAAAAATACTGCTCTATTGTTAAGTACCAAAAAAAAACATTTCTCATTGTGTCATATTTTTATGATTAAGATAAAGCACATTGTAAAAGATGTTCAGAACAACTGCAAAATGAGTAGCCTTTAAAAACAATTTGCTTTGGCAAATCCAGCTCGTTACAAAACTTTAACATTTCACCTAAAGCCACTGTCATTTAGAGATTAAAAATTAGATGTATAGGTAATTGAAAAAAAACCCTCAAAAAGATGTCCTGATATGGATTGATGCTGGAGTTAAGAAGAGGTTTAGGAACAGCTCATCTCAGTCTTCTTGCACCCTCTGTTGTTCAGGTGAAGTATTAAACAGCAGAAGAATGTATGATTGAGTGCTTTGAATATGGTGGCTTCCCAGGTCATTATAGCAGTCTGTTATTGACTGTCTGCCTTTAGTAAGGTTAAATGGCCAAACTGTTTAACATATTCTGTAATGAAATATAGGACCCCAATCTCCAATTTTATAGGTAGAACTAGAATTAATGTTCAAATAATTGCAACCTTATTAAAAAAAAAAAACCATAAAAATAACAATTAGATTTTTGTTTCTTTCATTTAGCCAGTGTAGAATTTTTTAAATGCAGTTACTTTTATAGTATTGGGTGGGACAGAGTACGTTTAGCATCAGATTTACATTGTAATTTTTTTTTTTTTGGTTGACATAACGGTAATTATAATAAATTTTAGGTACCTATTTCTATTAAAGTATAAACTTTGCATGTAACATATTTTAGTTTTAAAATGCATACTTTATGTTGCATCCCACAGGTTGGTCAAAATGGCACCACAGTACTATGATATGGCCAACTTTCCCATGTGTGAGGCCAAAAGACAGCTGGAGAGAATTATTGCCAAACTCCAAAGTGGCAAGGGAGGAAACATATGATCTCAAGACATGCCTGGATCAACCACCTATTTCATGTTTTGTCAGATTTTTATATTTTGTCTGCTTTGTAATGTGATTTCATCTGTGTTTGTTTCTTTTCTTCCCTAATTAGTATTATAGTAACGGGCATATAATAGTTTGTTGATTGACAAGAATGTATTACATCTGAAAGAATTGTTCAACACTTATTTAAGTTATCACACATTTCTAGGTGATTGTATAAACAGAAAGTATATTATAGTCTAAATTGTATAGCTTGCGGTCATTTTCCTTTCTTGATGCACAAAACTATTTTGTCACCTGTGAAATGTTTTGAGACCTTGGCAGTTTTGTTTTCTGTAATGTATTATCAGATTACAAAGAATCAGCCTGTTGGACACCCCTGTTGTACTAAATCTGGTGGCCACTCACTGCTACTTGTCATTTTCTGCTAAGCTGTGCTAATGAGTGCTGCTGCATTGCATCTGTTTTTTTGTTGTTTAGTACTTGAGCAGATGTAATATAGAATTTTAGCAAGTCACATGTAGGCCTGAAGCCCTTTAAGTCAGTTATTTACTGTGTCATGGAATTTAGGTTATACAATCTTGTGTCTCATTACTGCCAGTTATTATTATTATTGTTGATGTTCTTCCATGCAATGGATGCCCGATTGTCTTAAAACTTTCTGATGTGAGTAATTAGTTCGCTTTGTGAATTAATTTCTTTCAAAAAAAAAAACATTTATTGCGCTTGATCTGTCCATGATGTTCTCATTTTGCTTCTGTGAAACAGCCTATCTACAGCATCCAGGTAATTCCTCCCCAATCTTCTGACTGTCAGTGATGAATGTCCATATACACCAAGATTAGTTCTGTATGACTCAAAAAATATATTAAATGTATTGATTTGATGAGCATTTTTCATCCATTGAAATGCTGCTATTGCTTTGGCTATTTGACATTCAACATCTTTAGAGCATCTTTCATTTGTTATGATCAAGGTTCCTAAATACTTGAACTTGTGGCAGTTATGAGACTGCATTTATAGAAAGTTGCATTAAGAGACTTTTATAATTGTCATTGTTAAATCACATTCTTTTTAAATTTATGGCTGTATTTGTGGAAGTCTAAATAATTTGTTTGCCTGAAACACCTTCATAGATTGATTAATTTTGGACTATTTCAACTTAAATGTGCAGTAATTGGAGGCTTTGTTTATTCATTTATATTTTTTTTTATTGTTTAAACATTTCTATTCTCAGATGCTTTCTGCCATGTTTCTCCTACTCTTTCTCCTTCTAGTGTTGCTGATACATATACATAAAGCAGGATATCTTGTTGTTACTTTGCTAGGTAAGATTGAGAAATCACAATTGTTATTTTAAGGAATCTGATTTCTGCCATAAAGGCATGTTTTCATGATTCCCCATACATTATTACTCTTGTTCAATGTACATCATTTTGTTGTTTTACATGAATAAAGTACTTGTGTCTATTAATCTTGATTAAAGCGCTAGTTACTTCTGTGTGCTTGCTAACTTGACAGTGTTGTTTCAGATGGAAACCTGTGATATCAGGGCCTATTAACAGTATTTAAGAGCATAATTATAAGTTTGTTTATGTGTAGTTATTATATAATTTTTTTTCCATTTTGTCTTGGGTGACATACCAAATTCAGATGTTCTTCCCTTGAGGTTGGTTTCTGTCATTTCAAAGACTGCACAGTATATGCTGTGTGTCTCAATTTATAAGTCAGGCTTACTCTTTGGTAGGTTCTATGTGACCATTCACTCCTTTTTTTTCTCCCTCGTTGTCAGTCTCTCCATCTTCTGCGTGCACTTATGTGAATACATAGCTAACGTTTAACTCTTCAGTGATTCACCTCATGACATCAGCCATGTTAAGTTAAATAAATATACCACAAAGAAAAAATATACAAACTGACTAACAGGTACTTGTCAAGAATATTTCTCTTGTTTTAAACTTCAACATACTTACCAAAATGTGATTGTCCTCTGCTTGTGGGATGCAATTTTGAGTTTTTTTGAAGCCCTACCCTGGCTCTTGCCGGCAGCCCTAAATATAGCCTGACGGCTAAACAGGGTTTCCGGGACCTCTCCACGGGTGATCCTCATCTGCATGGCGGCACTTTGTATCACCAGGTGTTTATCACTTGTGTGACACACACACATAAGCACAAAAAGCGATGTGTATTTGATTAGTTTATTTAATTATCTTGATTATTTGAATGAACTTAATTTGCCCGGCAGCACTGAGCTGTTGCTTGAACTCCAGTGTCTTGCCCATACTTCTGGTATCCATTGATAGCCATGCATGAGTGTACATTGTCCATCTCTGGATGGGGGACAGCAAAATTGATTTATAAAATGTATAGAGACTGTAAAACTCCTGTTTGCTAGTACAACCTACCTTACAAAAGGAAGCTGTGATCCACTTTGTGTATCATATAGGTAGTATAAGTTACAGCTTGCACCAAACTTGAATCTCTAAGTACTATGTTGTACATGATGTTTAAAAAACTAGTGTAGGAGTTCAGTAAAGCCGCACAGAATGAAGGATGTTACTGTGGAAGGATCAGAAACACTAGACCCTCACACTGCTTATTAACCCACCCCCATAAGACAGGAAATTCAGCCTGAAAAGTGAAGGCAGGGCCGACTAGGCTCTTGGCCTAGGCTGACAGCTGGTCTAGAACGGAAGCTCTGAAGAGTGGATAGATAGTGCACTGCTCTTCTGATCCGACAGCTTCCGCAGCTTGCTTTGTTCCAAACATAATGATGTTACCTTTCCTTTAGGGTAAACAAGGCAGGCTGTGAAAGACTTCTTAAATATGGTGGGTCTTGCCAGTCACTCACCATCGCCATGGGCTGAGTCCTATGCCTCCTCATATAACAATATAACGCTATCGTCTGGAGAAACGGAAAGGTGCCAACAATAACATTAGACAGTAAGTAACCTCATAACCATTAACCTATGGCTGAAACAGGGTTTCTGGAATTTCCTCCTGCAGGATTCACATTTAAAAAAATGACTCTTCAAGTCACTGGTTGTCAGTATTTTAGGCTTCATTTCTGCAGGGTAAAGGGTTACAAAAAAAAAAAAAAGGTACAAATAATGCAAAATACATTTTATAATTCAGCAGAGAGCGGAAGGACAATTGTACAAAAATAGTCCTAAGAAGGAAGCTAGAAATCTTTGTCATTAAACAAAACGTCAGCTTCTTTAGTGTCATCAAACAAAACGTCAGCTTCTTTAGTGTCATCAAACAAAACGTCAGCTTCTTTAGTGTCATCAAACAAAACGTCAGCTTCTTTAGTGTCATCAAACAAAACGTCAGCTTCTTTAGTGTCATCAAACAAAACGTCAGCTTCTTTAGTGTCATCAAACAAAACATCAGCTTATTTAGTGTCATCAAACAAAACATCAGCTTATTTAGTGTCATCAAACAAAACATCAGCTTCTTTAGTGTCATCAAATAAAACATCAGCTTCTTTAGTGTCATCAAACAAAACATCAGCTTCTTTAGTGTCATCAAACAAAATGTCAGCTTCTTTAGTGTCATCAAACAAAACGTCAGCTTCTTTAGTGTCATCAAACAAAATGTCAGCTTCTGTAGGTTTTGAGCATAGGCCTTCAGGTAACTGTTACCCAATCATCCTATCCTTTGCTTTTGCATAGAGTTCACCCCACGTCTTTATGATCTTTTCACCTCCTCTTTTGGCTTGTAATTTCTGGTTCTCGCTCTTCTTGCCTCCTTAGCTATAGACACACTGAACCACAGAGGATTTTTTTCTGATGGTATCTGACCATATTTTGAAGATATTTTTGGCTTTTCCAATTAAAAAAAAAAATCCCCCCCCTCCCCCATCTGCCATCATCTGTTACTGCATGTCCAGGATGGAAGAAACCTTCATTTCATGGCAGTCGCAGCTCTCCACTTTTAATTATATAGTTGAAAAAATTGAAATAGTTTTTAAACCATACTCAACACCCCAACTGTTTACTTGCTCGACTAGGTCTTGTAACAAAAAAAAAAATGGAAGGTCTCTTTTTCCACGTCTTTAGGCGTATAGGGCAAATCGGGCTAGACCTATATTTTTTATAGACCAATCAGCAAAAGATGGGTGAAATGGTCAGCATCACGCCGGCCGCCTTGACTTCATAGGAGTCAGGGTTATTTTTGAAAAAAGTCCGGCTCCGCCAGAGAGCAAACCCACGACCTTCCGATCCTCACGCGAGCGTCTAGCCGCCATTTAAAAAAAATGTGAATTCAGCAGGAGGAAATCTCAGAAACCCTGTTCCAGCCTCAAGGTAGCCAAAAGGTCTTGTAGCTCCCTTTTAAGGAAGGAGGCAACAGATTTGACTTCTTGACTTTTAGGAGCAGGCCTGTCCTAAAACCAGTACTATATGGAGAGGTAGAAGAACAAGGATATCTTCATCATCATGTGCCCTGCCAGGCGGTGTAACCATTTATTTCTCTGCAAGATCTTTTTATTGATAACATTCCCCCATGCCATCACTTCAGACTGTCAAGTATCGTTTCTCTTGGTCTGCCTGTCTCTTCTACCATTGGTCTGTCCAGTCATCGTTTAGTTCTCCAATGTCTCCCTTCTTATGACATGACGGAAGAACACTGGCAACCTCTTTCGTGCTTATACTTAATGCCGTTATATAATAGGGGAAAAAAAAAAGATATATTGCCTTCTATATACGCCCCTGCTGCTCTTCCATTGGGTGTGTAGACGTTGCAGCCTGTCATAGTATATCCTAGCCCAGCCGGACACTGCACCGCTGTTCTATCTCCCTGAAGCTGACCACTAGAATCCGAGTACACGGTAACACACTGTAGTGTAGGTTGCTGACAGCAGACAGCGAAAGTGTACACGCCTAGCACATGTGAAACAGAAAACATACATAAGCTGCGTTTCTTAACACTCTTTTCTGTACGTAACAAAATGATATAAATATCCAGGCACGCATACACACACAAACTTTTTTCAA